CGAGCTAACCGTCTTCTCAGGTTTGCTCGGAAACATGTGAATTTCTTTGTATCGTTCCATCCGGCGAAATCTCTTGATTCGGAAGAACATTTTTTCTCCTTTTTTCATTTTTTTCACTTTTCGAAACCCTTCTATACTCAAATCATTTTATTATATTTTAAAGCTACTGCACGGTCGTGTTCTCTACATCAGTCATCTTTACTCTATTGCATACTATACTTTACTTTAATTTCGCTCAAACAAACTTTCCTTTCGATCAATTACAATTTAAACATCTGACCATTATAACGTTATAAAATTTTCTGCTTTATATCAAATTCAATTCTTACGCATCTTCTGCTACAACTTTCGGCATTTGAAAATTAAAACTTATTCACACTCCTTTACATAATTATACTGTATTTTAACATTCGGTACATAATCGCGTAATCGTTATACATGGTCACGTGTCTAATATATTATCTTTATCTTATCTATAATTCCTTTTCTAGCCTCCGCTTGTCCACATTATTAAGTCATCTGAAAGGATGGAAATGTTCTTCAACCAAAAGAACAACCCGGAACAACCGAAGCGCCTCAGATTGGACTCCGATCACTTTGTTGAAAAGGTATTCAAATTTCTAAATTATTTTCTCTTTTCCGTATACAATCCAAACAGGCTTACATGTTTTTCTGCAAATCTTAATCTTATTTTGTATTCCATATCCAATGGTCTCTCTCTTTAATATTCATTCATCTCTGCTGATATCGGTCTTACAGCCTTTTATCGGATTATACGTTTAGTTCTGACTATGGTCCGTGTATAACCCGATGGTACATGTTAACGATTCAGGGCCGAAACATGTACATCCAAACAAACATCTCCTTCATTCCAAATTATTACCTTACTCATTTCTATGGTTTTATATAACGCTCCACCGATTGCTTGCATTGTTCTCAGCTCCCTACGTTTCCTACCTTTCCTCTTGAAGAGATATAGCTATTTTCCTGAAGCATTCTCAACTTGAGGAGATATAGCTGGTTGTATCAAGTGTTTGATATCACCTGTTGATGGATGGCATTTGTGCTAGTTTAATGTATTGATCACAAAATACGGGAAAGTTGTTCTGAAATTAGGGTGGAAACAAATCAGTGAAACGAACGTGGATCTTGAAATTTGGTCGATCCTCTTCGAAAACTTTTATGAATTGCATTGCATTCACATCACCGTTGACGTGTACCACAACAACCTCGCGATACTGTAGCTCGCGTAGCAAATGCAGAAATACACGTGCTTCGTTGCTGTACGGTGGCGAGGTACGCAGGAAGGTCGGATATACGCTCTAAAAATTCTAATTTTATTTTCTAATATGCAGTCTAAAAATGTTTAATTCTTCAAGGTGCCAATGAGGTGTCTAAGAATTCATTGCTGTCGCGCTGATAATTCCTTGAACTTGCTATGCGGAATCTTTGCTCTATTTCGGAACGTCTAAGGATTGATCATATCTTGTATATTAGATAATACATTAACAAATTATTTATTGACATCTCTGTGACATCTCTCTGGGAAAATTTCTAATGGGCTGGCTCTACTGAATCTGCTTTGGATTCAATGATTCTCCATCGAGGACGTGTACGTTTTCGTTTAAGCTTGAGAGTTGTTCCGTGTCATGAAATCGAGCAATTCACGTGGCTATTGTTACGACCGGACTATAGTAGCGGCTTTAACTAATTGTGATCTCAATATCCTTCATTGCACTTTACCGAATGCTTGCACTGATACCTTCGTAGAGAATTCGCCATTCTGAATGCCTACACCAATTGTCGGTACCCTGTAGAATCCTAACGCATAGGCGGCTGTTGACGATATTGAAATAGGCATATGACGAACATAATGCAATAAGATGACTGCAACTGAACGATTCAGCAGTTGACCACAAACAATATCGCGAGTGATGTACAGTGTGTTTGGATTCCTGAATTTAGGTTGTCGTGTAAAATCACTGATATTTTTGGAATTTATGTTGTAAATCAGTCTCATGGAAGTATCAAGTCAAAAAGATTTCTCGTTGATGTAACAAATAATTAGAAGTAAATTTCAAGAAATGATCATTTGTAAGATCATAAAATATTGAATTGTTCGAAAAGTTTTCCTTTTTGATTCAGTCGCGTTTGAGAATTTCAGCTATTCAATCGGTTTCAGTTGGCTTTCCGAAAATTGTAGCAAGGAAGTTTAAAAACGTTGTAGGTCGAAAGATCTTGAATTTATTCGGGGAAGTAGTGAAGGATAGCGGGTTCCACTGGGAACTATACAAATTTTAATATTGATCTTTAATTTCGTGAATTTGTTCTCGCTTTTGAATCGAGCAATTATATGACTAGCTTCTTGAATTCTGGAATGGTATTGAAGAATTACTAATCCGTGCCACCTTACCCATCATATTGTCCAGCATCAACATACTGAACATCCAGCTCCACGCGATTAGTCAACGATTGCTCCTCTTTTTCATTCAAGTTGTCAAATAATTGCTGAAATTTAACTTCTGGAGAGGCATGAATCTCTTGTAAAATTCTCAAAAATTCCAAAATGGAAATAAATAATTTCAAATGATATCTGATCACAGATCAATAAATCGAACGATTCTTCTGATTCAAACTTCCAACTGAGAAGTTGATTTGTCTAGACAAGAAAAATTTTGAAAAGGAATTGATACGTGCAAGATATACAGATGTGAGTGAGTTTCTTTAAGTATCATTCAGTTCTTTCAACGATATCGAAATGAACTCGTGAGTAGTGGCCTTTTGGATTTGAAAATAAGGATGAAAATCGATTAAACGATTCTGAATTAGCCAATTTAATGGAACGGATATTTGGATGATAGTCATCTGTCTCGCAAATCCCTCGAGTGTTTGTCATTCACCCTTACCACTTTATCGTCATTCATTTGGGAAGTTTCACAGAGATTATTGCTAGTTTAAGTTGTAAACAGTAATTATACAATGATTGGTTTGGTGTACTTGCGATAATGCACAAATTTTATAGATTCAATACTTTTTAAGACAAGAAACGAGTACAATCATGGAATCATGGATTTCAATCTCACATTCATGTTAATCGAATAGATTATGAGATTTTAAGCTACAAACTTCTTTAGCGATAAGATAACTATGCAGTAATTGAATAACATTGAGAAGCTGTTTTCTTCGTGCAGAATTTCACTATCTCATATTTGAAAGGCACAACGAATTGAGAGGCTGATCGCATGATCTTCGAAATTAATCACTGATCAATTTGTCAATGCGCTAAGTAATATCGAAAAAAAAGTAGTTATGATAGCTCAGGTGATTAGTATGGGCTGTACTGATTGTATCAATTCCAATTTTAAGACCTGAGGTCACACTAAACTTCAGCAGACTCGTTGCACTTTGCAACTTAACATACACTCCGTGCGAGATGCATTCCAGATAAAAGTTTCTGCATCCAGATCAACGACCTAGGTGTGATAAACGAAATCGTTATCTTACCTGAACCTCTTTTTGCACTTTAGCAAATGGCTTATCGGATGGTGTACAGATGAGAATCGAGATTTTGGTTTCGTTGAGTGCAGAAACCAAAAAAATTGAAGCCAAAATCAGGATTAATTGGAGAGTTAAGTTGTTGGATTGATTGCAGAAATATCGCATCTTTTATCGTTAATTGTAGCGATAGTAATGGTGATGTTTACGGGAACTGGGAATAATTTTATTCGTATCGAACACTGAATATTGACCATAGGAGATGGTAAAATTTTATTCGAAGAATCCTGCAGCAAATCATTCCAGTCGTCAATCGAGAGTAAAACACTTTTAACGCTTGAGCATTTAAGGAACTGACAATGTGAGGAAATGCTGAGTGAATGTCAGATTCTGCAGATGCAGCAAATTCGACGTCTCAAAATCTATTGAGGAGCGAATCTGTTGAGGAAGTTCCACACGAGTGGAAGATGAATAAAATTGTTAAGGGATAACGTTTTGTACGTTCATGATATGGATACGATGGGGACATTCGAATATGTTGTATGCCGCAATCTCGAGAGAATGTCCGTTTGAGTGTTTGTGTGTGTTTATGCGACTCGATGAGTTTTATCGGCCCATTATAAAAGCTTGTTAAGGACGGAAATTTAATCAACTCCATAATAGCATGACGGCGACGATGCATCAGTGCTGAAAAGTTACGGAAAAATGAGGAGACGAAAAGAAATTGAAAAGCGAGATGAGCTGAAAAACGGCTAACTTACGGATATCCCAATGATTATTAGGGCAGTTCTAAACAGCTGCTGAGTCCACTTAAATGGTGTTAGTTATCTTGAAAGCTTCATGCTGATATTCGTTGCTCAATTACGAGAAAGTTTATCCGCTTTTCCTTTTGCAAAGAGAACCGACGACATACGAATGAACCAGTCAAATTGAATAGAGCAAGCCAATTTAAAAGAATCGAATTGAAGAGGAAACACTAAAGTGAGAGTAGGATGCTTGGAACAGCATAAGCTTCTTGGATTTGTTTGATGCTATGCGCTGGACTGGAACCTATTATTACCGATAAGAATGGGAAGATCAGATACTGATCATACTGCAGTTGAATCGACTATCACCTCAATGGGAACGAACATAAGATTTAGCCATAGTTTCAACTTTTCTCTATGGAGTGCATTTGAGAAGTCAGGCATTATTAATACACTCGCTGGTGTTTTAATTCGAACTGTAATGACTCTTTTCATGAAAATACTGACTAAGCCCTGACTACATAATGTTCAAGCCTTCATTGCTCTTGAATCATTTTATACAGACCATA